GTTTTCATTTTATTAACACTTATATTTTACTTCCTGACACTCGACCCGTTTAAAGATGGCTACCATGGCTATTTTTACTTGTTACAAAAAAACCATGGCACAAAAATTGCACAACTTTGTACAGATATTATCTGAAAGGTTTTTTGTAGTGTAACAAGCCGTTTTTGGTTGATTTGATACATTTGTTTCTTTTATTGAACGTCATTTTTTTTTGTTATTGAAAATTTGGACGTATGCGTCCGAACCACTAGGCGGCGACAGTGAAAGAGTTAAGGGTGTGTTCTTGCTCCTACAGTGCTTGCATGGACTAGGTGTGGGACAGGGTTGTGGGGTTCAGTGGCTGTGGAGCATCTGTTGATGAAGAAAGATTCACTGATCTTGACTTTGCTGACAGTGCTGTGGGCTTTGCGGAGTCAATGGAGGCTCTGATTGGGGCTCTTGAGAGACTGAGTGAGGAGTCTCAGTGCCTGGGATTGCGAGTTTCTTGGATAAAAACCAAGATCCAGGCCTTTAATGACCTCTTGGGCACAGCCATCAGCAGTGTGTCTGTCTGTAGAAAGAATGTTGACCTCGTCAAGAGGTTCACTTACCTCGGCAGTGACATTCATGTCTCTGGTGACTCTTCCCATTAAGTCAGTAGATGGATTGTGAGAGCATGAGGGGGTCATGAGGTTGCTGGAAAGGGGTGTGTGATGCTCCTGATATCTTTATACTTTATTTAGTCTTGCTATATGGCTGCGAGACATGGACGTTATGCAATGACCCGAGACAAAGACTGGACTCTTGGTACTGTATCTCTTTGGAAAACCCTTGGGTACCGCTGGTTTGACTTTGTGTCAAATGAGCGGTTGCTCAGGGAGTCCCGAATGAGGCACATTACACAGTTATGGCACTATGACCATGTGGCATGATTCCCTGTGAGGCTGATCCGGCTCGCAGGATCCTCATTGCTGAGGACCCGAGCAACTGAACCAGGCCGAGGGGACGCCCACGTAACATCCGGCTGCGGCAGATAGATGGCCAGTGCCAGAAGGAGGGTCTGGACAGAGTGTCAGCCTGGGGGGGGGGGTTGCCAACAGGGATCCAGAGGTGTTTCTTCATGTGGTGGGTGCAGCAATGCGCAGCACTAGTTCGTGCTCCCCAGCCTGACCTCAATGTACAGGTGGGGATCGGAATGCATGATTCCTAGAGAAGTTGGGGTTAAGGGCCTTGTTCACGGGATGCATCACTCTGCCAGCTAGGGGATTTGAACCAGCAACCTTCCGATCACCAGCGCAGAATTTTACCCTGCAGACCCGCACACTGTGCCATAGTGTAAAACCTTGGTAATGTTGTCTAGAATGAGCCTGGAACGGTAGCTGTACAGCAGAATGATTTTTTTCCTCCTCCGTGTTACATTTACGTTCGGCATGAGCATGGTCGTTCCCTAAATATGCAACAGTAGCAGCCGCCTCCTCATCTCTCTCTTTCCTTTTCACAGCTGGTCCCATAGTGACCAATCACTCAGAGGCCGACCTGAAGAACAAGGACTGGGTTTTCATCAACTACACCTACAAGCGGTTTGAGGGTTTGACAGCCAGGGGTGCCATCCCATCCTACATGAAGAGTGGAAAGAGATAGGCTCCCATCTCGTGCCCCTTCAGACCCCACCCCCCCACTGGTCCAGGTCTGTTCAAAGGGCTCAGACACCTTGCTGTCCTCTTCAGTCGGCCTTCACCAGCATGGCATGACCTGGATGCCTCCAGCCTCCCTGTGACTGATGTCCACGTAGTCTTCCTTTCTCTTTCTTCATTTTTACTCTGTGGCCACCAAAGAGCCAATGGGGTGCTGGGGTATAGTGTCGAGGCCCCACCACCAGCAGCCAAAGCTTCACCTCTCTAACTATCAGCAAGCCCCCCCCCCGTCCCTTCCGGGCGGCCTTCCTGTTCAGTCACCAGCCAGACCTTAGGACCTCCTCCATGCCTGGCATGGGCCGCATGTCTAGTGCTGGACCTGCTTGTTTTCATGGTGCTGCTCTACATTAAGGGCTACTTCACTCTGGATATGCTTCTGCATATTGCCACCTTAATGCCATCCTGAATGAAGTGGGCTTCCTCCAGCTTCTGGTAATGAACCCCCCTCAGGGTTTGCCATAGGAATTGTAAATGTTTTCATGTTTTCTGACAAATCAGCACCTGAAACTATCCCTATATGCTCTTGACCAAACAAATGGGTGACATGACCTGCGCCCTTCCCTCTCCCTCCCGGCGTGCCTTACCCCTCCCTCCCGGCGTGCCCTCCCCCGCTCCCCCCGGCGTGCCCTCCCCCGCTCCCCCCGGCGTGCCCTCCCCCGCTCCCCCAGGCATGCCCTCCCCCGCTCTCCCGGCGTGCCCTCCTCCTCCAGCCTTCAGGCTGTGTGCAGTGTCCATCCAGTGACTGGCCTATCCCTCTTTGGTCCTTTTTCAGTTCGGCTCCATTTTGTCCCTGTCCGGTACTTTGAACCCAGTCAACCTGCACATTCCAGGAGGGCAAAAAAACCCACACAAATCCAGGAATGAATTAACAGCTTTTCTCAGCCAGGGTATTTAACCGCTGGTTAGCTAATTTAAACAGCAGCTCTAGTTAGAACGTTGTAAGTAACATGTTTATCTTCAGGAAGTGTTCTGGTGTCCTTTAGGGCTGATCTGTCGTCTCTTCGTCATTCTGCCTTTACACACGCATACACACACTCTGCACGGCTTTCTGTCTGACGTAGGTATGACCTGCTGTCCTGCTCCTATTCCCTTCTCAGCTTGGGGTGGCTTTGCTCTCCCTGGGTCTCCTGCTGCTGATGCTCTGTGTCCCCAGTGAACTGGTGTCTGACTGCCATTGTACAATATGTGGTTTTACAGTCAATGCTCAGTGACAATTTTTTTTCTTTATTTTGTGGTTTATAAGGTGCGTTCTTTCCACATTTTAGGATGGGGGTGTGTGTTTCTTGATATAGGTACAGTTCACAGTGGTGAGGGCTGTGTGCCCCTCCCTGAGTGCATGAGGGGTCTGGTGAGGCCCCATCGCCCATTCATGATTTATAGGTCACAGCACTCTGCTCAAAATCTTAAAGGGATCTATGTTCTTGACAAAAGTGTGTCTTGTTTTGCTCTGTATTGGTCATGGTGGTTTGTGGGCAGCCCCAGTGCCAGGTGTTTATAAATGTGTACTTGCACAAAAACAAAACACGGTGTCTCCTGTCAGGAAAAAACGTGTATATCGGAGCGTGGGACTGTGGGGACCACACCCTGTTTGTCATCAAGCCCACTCAGTCCTCATGCTGCCATTTAACCAGCTGCTGATGTACAAGAGGAGCATATGTACTTTCCCCAATAGCATTGTTAGGGTTCTGCTGGGTATTAGCCTGTATTTTAATGTTTTGTATATAAGCTGAAGCATGTTGCCTCACTAGCATGTCTCCTGTTATGGAGGCATTGCTGATCTTCCTGAACTCTGTTTATTTGGATACTGGTGGCTGTAAAGTGATTGATTTTTTTTTTTTGTTTGTTAAAGCGTGCTCTGTGTGTGTGTTTTGATTTTGCTGAGGTTTTTATGATCTTTTGGAAATCTGATTTTTAAATCATTTTAAAACTTACTTTCTTTTTTCTATGGGCAGCAGATTTTGAGGGGGGTGAATTTGCTTTTATACTATACGTTCCAGCTATTGGGGATAAAATACATCCTTCTTATGGCCATTCAGTCATAACCTCGGGGGATACATTCCTTTCTTTCATTCTGAAGTCCTGTCTAAAGGCACAAAGGATACAGGATACACTGTTTTACATTATACTCCCCAGATTCAGCCCTTTACAAGTAGTTCTTTCTGACGATAGCAGGAAATGCAGGCTTGTGACCCAGTTAACATTAAGGCCTGCATCCTGGCCTCTGGTATCCTTGGTGATGAGATGGTAAGGCAGTTCATTCTGTCCACTTCTCAGGGATGGAAATCTGAGAGATTATTTTTACCTGAGCTTCTGCCCGTCAGCAGGAGTGGGAATGGACATCATGGTGATCCCTCTCTTTTGCTGCAAAGGAGCTGAGGGGTGCTGGGGCGAAGACCAAGCAGTATAGGATTTCTGGGCCACGTGTTCCTATACCTTTCTGTGCTCTTGCCACGCCTCTTCTGACCTCCCGAGCTGTCCGGCAGAGTCCTGGCTGCATTCTCCTGATCCATGCACAGGTGCACTCGGGTGGGTTCCTGGTACGTCAGTCACATTCCCAGTGGTCCAAGTGCTGGCTTTAAACTTCTTTTTTTCATCTGAGCACTTTTTAAAAGCATTATATTAATTATACAACCAGTTTAAGCGTGCTTCTCTGTTCTGGCATAGCTGCAGGTACTGCAAGCACTGGGCTGAACCCAAGAGGGTTGGCTTTAGCCTATGCAGTCCCACCTTAAGCAGAGTGATATGGGCTACAGAAGATTCTGTGTATCTGCCTTAAAGAGATCTGTCATGTATATGTTGTGCACATTTGCTTTATTTAATCTTTTGTTTTTCTTTGGTTTGACAAACCTGAATTATACTGGCTCACCAGGCAGTAGCTGAACGCAAAGCTTGTTTCTGTGAAAGGAGCATCGTGCCGGCCAGACGCTGGTGAATTCTCTGTGCGTTCAATAAAACGACCTTGTGTATAATACTTTGTGTGTTGTCTTCTTTTCCTTCTCTCTTGAACATGCTGTGTCGGTCTGTTGTGGCCGGGGGATCCTGAGTGTTTACAAAGGCCTTTGTTTTTGGGCTCTGTAAACTCGGGTAGGGTGGTTGTGCAGCCTCTCACTAGGACCAGATGGAGATCATCCCCCGTCTGTGGTGACAGCGGGCACAGACAGAGCAGGGCAGGGAGGCCGTGGAGGGGATTCCTGACAGTCATCGCCTGCGGTTCCACTCCTCACCCCAGTGCTATCTAATGTCACTCAAGCTAAGCTAAGCTAGCCAAAGTGTCAGCCCCATACTTGTAGCTAGCCAGACGGTTAGAAAGGCCGCAAATAAAACTGCAGGGAAAGGTCTTTTCATCTGCTTTATGTCCATAGTAGATGCAAAATCCAAGAATTTGATCTTTTCCATACCATGCATTTAGCCAGAACCATAGGGTCCCACTCAGGGGTACGCCATATAAGGTCGGGCCATCAAGCTCCCTGCTCTGGTTGTGTAAGACACTTCCTCCTGCCAAGGGTGTTCTGTGAGGCTCTTTGTCGTTCCTCTAAGATAGGGGGGGATGCATGCTTAGCATGTATGAGGTCTTGGGTTTGATCCCCGGCATCTCCACAGTGACCTGCTCAATAGGGGTCGGGACCCATGTTCAGTACGTCCTGGGCTTGAATGCAGTGGCAAGCAGAGTAATCCTATCGGCAGTGGACATCAAGCCTAACTGCTCCCAGGACACCAGATGCAGGCTGATCCTCACCCCAGTTTTATGTTGCTTTGGACAAAATGTATATAAATATGTATTTTGTAGAGTCAATAGAAAACAAAAATGATAAATTTGAATTGCTAGTATGTTGTATCACCTCAATGCAAGATTGCAGAATAGTTCTATAAATAATGGCGATAAACATTTGCCTCAGGCCATTATGGTAATGAGAGAGGGGCTGATTCTAGCATAAGAGGAGAATGCTGCACCAAATCAGCCCATGGGTCTGTAGTATCAAGCTCGATACTTCCACAATGTGTAGACTGTATGGGCTCCAAACAGAAGGCTGGAGAGAAAACAAAAGAATGGTTAAGCGTTTTCTCCCTAAATACTGCAGTATGAAAGAATAGCAAAGTGGAACAGGAGTGGGGGGCTGTGAACTGGCAACATGATCCACAGCTGTGTGGATACAGCCAAGTGTCAGGGAGAGCTGAGCTCAGCCATAAACCGGCAGCACTTTATGTTGATAGTAGAGTTCAGAGTGGAGGGTGATCTCCTGTTCATGTTCATCTTAATGTTAATGTTGCAGTGATGTTCAGCAGCTCGCCCTGAGGCGTCTGGGCTCGGGATTCCCAACTCGGCCTCATTTACTGCTCCTTCCGAGGCAGACAGTGCCCAGCCGTGCGGGGTTAGAGCCAACACTGAGCTGTGACAGCATACATCAAGGATCATGATGCATGGATATACAGGAGATTCTGTTGGTTGCATCAGCAGACGGCCACTAGTTCAACTCGCTCAAGGAATGATAATGTGGTTTCTACAAATCAATCAGCTCAACATAACCATGGGCCAGACCTTTCAAAGTAATATAATTCCTTTTAAAATTGGACAATAGGTAGCTGAGCGCATGTCTATCACCCTCATTCATTTACAGTCCTTACCCAAAGAAGGATGTGCAGACTGAGAACCTATCCAAACACGGCTACGCTGGAAGACAGGACGTACCTGAACAATTCACCTTAATTGAATATCATACTTTTTTCTGCCAACAGGAAGTTGGGGAAAAGCGCAACAATTATGGGACTTGCCAAAATCTTTTATTTCATCAAACTTTTAAATCACAATTTTCTCAAAGATGCAGTGTTTTCACATTGATAAGCACGACGTATAAACATGTAGGATATGCATATAAAAAATGTTCTCTATGATTTATAAAGAAAAATGTTCAGATCACACAAACTTTTAAAAGAAAGGACCAGAGAAACAGCTGGCTGTACATTTTATGAAAATGCAAACTTTTAGAGATTTATGCAGCCGTGACAAAAATGGTGAATTGAACATTAAGCTAAACATGACTAGCTGTTCATGCAGGGTGCATTAAGGTGTTTCAGACCAGCTCACAGATACAGCTAGATGCACTCTACCACCAGAACACACATATGTGACCATGTGTACATGCGTGCACACGCGCGCACAGACACACACACACGCGCACACACACACACGCACGCGCAGACACACATGCGCACACACACTGATCCCTGTAACTTGTTCCTCTCCCACATACACACTCAGGTTCACGCCAAGACTGTCTGCTTCTCTCACACACACCTGATACCATATCTAGCTCTCTCTTTCACACGCTACTCTCACACAGTGACTCAAGCCCATAAAGATTAGAATGTGCAACGAGTTATAGGAGCACCTTTCAAACATAACACCTCTCTGCTTGAAAGCAAAAGCCCCTCTTCAGCATAATGGTACCATTGCCATTCCCAGCACAAAACCCCACCTCTTAAACTATAACCCCTCTCAGACTCCTGCTATGCTCAAGACTTTAACATGCTGAATCAGGTCATGTGATTCACCTCGTCGGTTACCATAGTATTCCCCATAACGTCTTACTTTCAGCAGTGCTGGAAAGTTCCCATCCCAAAAAATGAAGGACAACAAAACCTGCATGTCTTCCTTATAAATAAAAAATGGATGCCTAACATCCAGCCCTTTAAAAGGTCAAATGTCACGCAAGCCAATGGAATGTGTGTAGAGTACCCCAGTGGAGGGGGGGGGCGTCTCTCTCACCATCCTCAGTGGCAAAGCCATGCCTCTGGTGCATCCTTCAGGGCTGTGGTCCGCGGTCACCCAGCAGAGGGCGCCAGGAGAGAAACCCAGCGGAACTTAGCTTGTGGTTGCCGTGGGAACACTTGATGAGGGCGCAGGCTAGAGGAAATGATCGTTCCTCAGCTCTCGCTGGGTGTCCACATAGAGAGGAGGGCAAGACGGTGGCTGGGCCCGTTCAGGCGGTCCAGCTCGTCCACCTGCGGGCTGGCGGATGTTCCGGACCTGGTCGCACCCTCCCCCGCAGCAGCCAGGTCTGGCACGCTCTTGCTGCGCACGCACTGGAAGTCCACATGCCGACTCTTGCCCTCTTCCTTCTCCCAGGACAGCTGGATGAACGGCCGCTGCACGTAGTTGTAGATGACCTCGGCCCGGCCTCCAGGGCGCCTCCTCACCTTCTCCTTGCAGGTGGGGTACCCTGGAAAAAATGCCAAGATCTCAAGATGACAGTTCCCCTGCAGAATGTATCCTCAACATAGGAGCCACAACTAGACAAGATAAAAAAAAATACAAAAATTAAAATTAACCCACAATAATGAGTCTACGTGAAAAATGCATAGCATCTTTTTGTATTGGCGTATTTTCGTATTGTATTGCATTTACATTTTATTAATTCATGAAGTCAAATTATATACCAAAGTAGTCCAGGTTAATTAACTAGTCTAACAACAACAGACCCCATGAGAGCTGAGCCTGCCACCTTTCAGCCACACCTATAAATAATGAACCATCTCACTCGTTTCTGTCCAGTACACCTCACAGTACCTCACAGTACACCTCACAAAGGAGCACTCAAAATGCCGAGCTGTGAGCCACAGCTGCCGGCTGCCACCCTGCTTCGTGGCTCCCAGCCGAATAATTAACGCTCTGGTTCTCTACAAGACAGCCTGCGTGTTGTTACTAGATACGTACCAGCAGTGTACTGCTAAACTTACACTGCTCTGAATATGGCTGCAGAGAGCGTAATGGAAAAGGGGCTCTAATCTGCTCTAGGTGCTGTACACTCTTCAGTACCCATCACCACAAGTCATATGTTTACTATGAGGCACTCATGTATTCATGCCTTCTGTTGGTTTAGGTCAGACCAAAATAAATGGGTTCTAATGACACATCTGCTCTCCTCTGCCAAATATAGTGTCCCACTAACTTAAGAACTGCAAGGAGCAGGGAGCAGGGTCTAGGATGCAGCAAGCAGGGAGCAGGGTAGAGGATGCAGGGAGGAGGGCGCAGGGTATACGGAGCAGGGTATAGGGTCCAGGGAGCAGGGCGCAGGGTATAGGGAGCAGGTTATAGGGTGCAGGGTATAGGGTGCAGGGTATAGGAAGAAGGGTATAGGAAGCAGGGTATAGGGCCCTTTTATCCAAATCACGGTTCTCAAGGTCCGAGCACTGTGGAATTTCCAGCTTTCCTTTACCTGTGAGCCAGGTGTGAAGCCTCTGACCAATCAGAATCAGTAATTATTAAACTAACTACCTGGGAAAACCGAAAACAAGGCTTGGATTTGGAATCGAGGTCCAGATTTGAAGAACCCTGGTATAGGGTGCAGGATATAGGGAGAAGGGTATTAAATGCAGGAAGCAAAGTGCAGGGTGCAGGGTATAGGGTGTCGGCTATTGGGAGCAGAATATAGGGTATAGGGTGCAGGCTATAGGGAGCAGGGTATAGGTTGAAGGGTGCAGGGCACAGCGCTCACCCTCGATCCCGATGCGAATGTTCTTTAAGCCTCGCTCCTTCAGCAGAGCTTTGGCCACATCCCGGTTCTCAATGTACTTGAAGAAACGGTACAGCTTGGTGCTATACAGAACTGGACAGATGGATTAAACCAGGTCAGGAGGAACAAAACCCAACAACCCTAACAAGGCACATGCACTGAATCAGCTGTTTTACAGTCTTTGCTTTGATTTTTCCCTGCAGACGTAATAAATGGTACAAAATTATCCAGCAAGCAACTGTACAGCTTCACCCTCCAGTGTGCAAGTATATGGAGTGAGGCAGGGAAGAATGTGTTTACATGCTTACAAATGAAGACTGCTTGCTATTTTAAGACTGACAAACCAATCTGCTCACCAGCTGAAAAGAAATTCTAAAGGAGTGACACCAACAAAGAAATACATAAAATAAAAATAACCCAAGTGATTTTAGTCAGGCATGATTACATTCTCAAGAAGACTTTTACATAACATGTTTGAAGAGATGGTATTTTTGCCACAATAACAAAGCTGTATTTTTGTGAGGCAGACACTTAACATTGAACTTTCACAGATGACAATGTCATTCCAAAATGAACGTACCACCAAGGGACACAAACATCTCCAGGAGCATAAAGGCTGCTGCCATCGCCCACTCCGACTCTACCACGGTTTGCCCTTCAGAGCTTCTCGCTTAGGTATGAAAAGCTGTTGCCACAGAAACCCAGCACACAAACCCTAACCCTAAACTGCACACCTCGTTGTAGTGTAAATGTGTGGTAAAGATGAGCAGAATGCAGTGAAATAGCAATCCGCTCATTCACTGGAAAACAGGGTGAAACATTCAGGGGAATTAGAATATCTGCACATGTAAAGATTCTACAATGAAGAATGGAAACAGCAATTTGAGCCCCACAAATAGAAAATCAAGATGTATAAAAAAAAAAACCCTGAGTGCTGGATCTGTAAAAATAGGCTTTGTTTTCTATAACGTCTCTGACTGACATCACATTGGTCTATTCTGCAGCTGGTTTTACTTAGAAAGTACTCAGTAATCAGAGAAACTTTGGGAGTACTACTCATTCATGGAGAGAGCCCTAATCTAGGTTCACTTTCATCTGGGAAGAGAAGCATGTCTCACTTCCGGAGACGACCATACTAAGAGCACCTTACTCACACCTTATTGCACACTCACAGAGAGGAGGTTATTCTAAGAGTATGTCTCACCCATGGATCATGCCTTACTCTGAGAATACTCCTCGCCCATTGGAGGCGGGTGCTCCGTGTCCCAGTCCACTGTGTCCTCGTCAGTCAGTACCACAATGTGGCACTCGCGCTCGCCCTCCTGTGCGCTGGATACCATGGCGGGCACCAGCAGTTCCTCCAGGAAAGCCTCAAACTGCCGCCGAGCGCCATCGTTGGACAGCTCATGCAGCAAGGCGCCTGGGAACCACGAGGAGCCGGCAGACGCGTCACCATCATGCGACAAACATACACGTCACACCCCAGGAACCTAATCTGGGGCACGTCTGATTGCACGGACAAGTTCAGGACAGTAAAACATACATCATAACAACAGACACAACTTATTATTATTTTTTAATTAGCATCGTTTAAAGGCACATGCCATGGGGTTGCCTGAAGGCAAAAAGTAGGAAGTTCTGCAGAGGCAATGAGCAACTGCAGGTGGCCCAGCAGAGGTGGAGCCGCTTCTATCCTTGCACATTTCAGGTATTTAGGTTGTCATTGTGTATGATTTAAGTTAATAACCAGTAATTTATTAATGATATAACAAGCAAGTATTTATTCACGGAATAACGAAACTAATAAATATTTACTTGATTAATCAAAGCATGAAAGCCTTTATTACTCAAATTAGATTTAGATGTCGTCTAATTTTACCCTGTTGAACAGTAACAAAGCCCATGTGAGCCAGCAGGTGGCACCAGACATGCAGAACTTACTGAGGTCACGGCACCTGATGGTGCTGTGGTTGAAGGCGATGCGGAGGTAGTCGCAGGCCTCTCGCAGCTCACCCACCGACACGCCGTCAGGGCAGTGCAGCACCCCCGTCTGGTAGAAATCCTGACACACATACATCACCATTACTTTCTGGGCCGGCGGCTATCAGTGAAGCAAACAGAGAGATGGGTGCGACAGTGACTCACCAGCACGACTGCGAAGACTGCGGCACTGATGCCCTCGGCCAGCTCGTACTCACCCTCCTCATTGGGCTGCAGGAAGCCGCGCTGCCGGTCTGCACCAAACATCCTGCAATCAATACCACGTGATGCACAGTTTGTGTTTCTTTAACACATAACATACCTGTACATTAAACTAACTACAAAAGAGGCCATTCCACTAATACTGGCTCATTAGTATACTAAGCTGTTCAGGAATTTAACAGGAAGTTATCTTGTGTTAATGTAAATAAACTGCGTACATCATGGACAGATTTTGTAGGAAGCTCGGGAGATCTCAACGCACCAACCATATCACTGCGTAGAAGACATCGCCGGCTTGCCCGTGCTCGTGTCTGCTACGCAGTGATACCACTGGTGTGTGGAGTGGCACCGTGCTGGTATTGCAGTCAGACCATGAGACAGGAGGGAACAGCCTACCTGCCCAGCAGGGTGTCAGGGTGGGCTGTAAAAACCGCAGGGTCCACAACAAAACAAATGCCGTCCACCAGCAGGGTGACCTTGCCGGGGGCTGGAGGCGTGGGGCTCGTCTTGCTGGGCAGAGGGCCACTCATCTCCGGGCCTTTGAAGCTGCCTGCAAGCAGGAAAACAGGACAGCAGCAACAGCGGAGCTCAGCGACCACTTGGTGTCCTTTGTGTTACAGCACAAGACCAGGCATGAAAAGCTCAAACTACCAAGTCTGAGTGACCATTTCTGTTTTTCTGCATCGTTACCCAAAATAACTGCTACAAACCTTCTCTCAAGCTGCTCGCTCTCACAGCCAATGACCTGACTTACCCAGGCGGCACTCCTCCAGCTTTCTCCCCTCCATGTTGCGCCTGTTTGCCCCCTGGAGTTCACTGTTGGTACTGCAGCTTCGGGACCTGTGTTGAGGACAGTTAGTTATTGGGTTCTGGCTTCAGCTCCTTGCGCAGGGTCTCAGCTCATGTGTCAGCTTATAGTGTGGGAAGTCAGAGCAAATCCAGTCAATCCAGAGGGCTGACACAAGCTGGGAGGCCGACTGTAATGGTTATAACTCTACTGGAATCGAGTTCGTCTTAGCGGACACTATCCTGGTCTGGTCTCTGAAGGGGCGAACTGCCTGCTATCTGAACTGACCCATAATCTGAGAAAATGCCCAATTCCTGGACCCGTACTTTTCAACACGAGATCCAAGGACTTACTTCAAAAAATGCATGTAAATGCAACCACAATAGCAGAAATACAGAAGGTAAGCAAGCCGTCACTCTGCAGTCCTTATTATATATAGACAATCACATTTGACTCATTTTGTCGCTTTTCATTATAGCCACCCAACATGGGGTCTTCCTGCTAGGTCCACAGGGGCTGATTCTCCTCTTACTTCATTACTATCAACTATAAAATGCACTACATGGTTTTTGCCAAACGTGACCTTCTGTTAACACTAAATAAAAGCTTACAAGAGTCCCTGTATATAACTCTGTTGAACTTCCCTCGCAGGAGAAGGTTGCTGCTAATTTTGGGTGCCTATTCCTAATCTGCCTGAACCGTTCCTCCTGAAGGGACGTCACCCGTGAAGAGCGACACAGATAAAGGAATTCTTCAGCCCAATTAACCCTTCTAGTGCTGCTTACTGTAGCCTATTCTACCTGTTCAGATGTGTATATATCTGCAGCCAAACCAGTAAATGACACACTTTGTACAGATTTTGTAAAAACTTTAGCTAGTAATTAGTCTATGCCATTTATGCCCTTTGGTATGAACTAGTAGAAGTTTGAGGTTAAATCAAGTTAATGAACAGTGTTCTAGCTTAAAGTGTCACTTATAGCCAGAACCATGAGCACAGTATTTAGATGCCATAAATCAATGGCATTTTATTCTCCTTCTAGTGGCTAGAGGTGTTCTGGAAAATCTCCCTGCTTTGGTTTTTAAGCTGGAACGTAGAACATGCACAGCTTTAATTAGAGCATTAGTCACCTTGTACGGCCAAAAGTATGTGGACACCAGCTTGTATTAATATGAAATTGGGCGCACTTTCTTGCTACAATATTCTCTGCTCTTCTGGGAAGGCTTTCCATTAGACACAGGAACATTGCTGGTAGGATTTGCTGCCATTCAGGTTGGGTATTGACACTGGCTGATCAGGTCCCTTTCTGGGAGCTTGCATGACCTACCACTTTGCAGCTGATCTCGCTCCCAGATGTTTCCACTTCACAGTCACTTCACTTGCGTTTGACCAGGGCGGCTCTAGCAGGACAGAAATTTGGGGAACTGACTTGTTGCAAAGATGGTGCCCTACGATGAGGCCAAGTGGGAAGCCACTAACCTACCTGTACAGCCACCCATTCTGCTGATAATGTTTGTTGCAGGAGAATGCATAACTGTGTGCTTAATTACACCTCCGTATCTGATGGGTGTGGCTTAATTAAGCAATTTCTCTAATTAATTGGGGTGTCCTTTGGGCCATATAATGCACGTCTGTTTTTAGTCTCTTCAAATCACAAACTGTAATGCAGTATTCAGGTGACTATATTACAATCAACACTAAAAGAAGAAATTACTTGTTTACAAAACCTTAAGAGAAGTACAATCTAACATGTGACTGCTGATGTCTACTTTATTTTCTAGATTAGCTGTGAAAATATGTGGATGTATGGAAAGGAGAAAAACTTTCCCAGCACAATAGCAAAGCCACGACCAGTACAGATGATTCTGCACATGTTTACTTGGAGGTGTGAATTTGG